GTATTCGGCCAATCACAACGCACTGGATAGCTGGCCAATCACAGCACACCTCGCTTTTTCTGACCGATGAGCTTTGTAAAAATCGACACGTTTCAGAGAGGCGCGGCATAGAGGAGAAACAATAATGTACAGTATGCGGAAAATAATGTGTTTTTTTTTTCTTTAAACTGCATAAACACATTTCATTACACCAAATACACAAAATAATGTTATTTTTAGCAACATCATATGACCCCTTTAAAAGCACGCGAAGAAGATTAAAAAGTCCTGCATTATGTTCTAACCATGAAATTATTTTTTCAAATAAGTTATTACATGAAATATCTTCAATCATACAAATCAAAACAGACTTTTGAAAAATTAAGCCAGGAGAATCCCATTGAGACATCACAATCTCTTCTTCCAGGGAGACCTGGTCAAGACGGCAGCACACACAAAAAAAAAAACAAAAAAAAAAAACATAAACAATACTCATACAAAACAATAAAAGTAATATCAAGAAAAACACTTACAAGACTCCTTTAAAACAGTTTGCAAAAGATATTTTAAAACTTCTCTGGGATGGCAGTATCTCTAGTCTAAATACAGTTTGCAGATCATTCCAAGCCCAGGGGGCATAAAAAGAAAAGGCACATTTTCCAAATTCTTATTCCATGAGGACACCCACTGCGAGGGACGATGACGCCGGCTCACACCCCTGGTCAGACTCATTAAGGTGCTTGGACCCCGGAGTGATGGCGTGCACTGTCCTCCTTTCCTCGGGCACAGGCTCACAAGTCGTGGCAGGTGGAAGCTTCCTGTCTGCGGGGGGCTCTGGTGTGAAATTTGTCGATCGAGGTGGTGACAGGCTGGGCTCTGGGTCAGGCTTCGAGACATCTGCAAGGTGAGGCTGGACGTTGATGTTGTAGTCGACATCTGCTTCCATCCAGATCCATTCAGCCACAGTGCGAAGCTGATGTAGTCCTTAAGGGTCCAACAAGGGCCACCCTGGGGCATGACGAAGTGAATGTCATCGTCCAGTCCACACCGAAATCCCCCCATCAGGCAGACGTCATAGCAGCTGGCATGGTGGCAGGTGTTGAGGAACTCCTCCACGTAGCCCTCCAGGTTTCGGCCAATTTGAAAAATAAACATTGTTGCTCCCCCGTGGGACAACATTAATGGATGCAATTTCCATTAATCTTCTCATTTTTGAGGGTCCGGTCTACTGTCACAACTTGATTGTTAAAAGCACTCAAAGAAGAAGATGAAGATTCAAAAGTCTTTAATAATCCACACTGAAGAGAATCCAAACAAGGCAAGCAAACTAAACGCAACCAAAACACAGACGAGACCGGACCAACTGAACTGAAACGAGAGGAACTTAAGTACCCAGAGAAACAAGGTTAATTATCGAAGCACACCTGAACAGAATGACATCATCAACTCAGAAACCATGATGACTAAAGATTGGTAGGAACTAGAACAAAGGAAAAATGAAATTGACTAGAAACATACTAAAAATCTATGAAAATGAAACAGGACTGATTAAATTGTCTTATAATTAATCTATTAGCCTATAATTGAGATATTAAGAATTAAAACAAACAATAAAAAATAAATACAATTTTTTTTATATATATAAATACACCTATTTATTATTCTTTAAAAAATATAAAAATATATTATATTATGTATTTTTTCAATATATAAAACATGTTATATAAGGAATTAAGTTCTCATTATTTAAATATAGTTTCTTATTTTTCTGTACAAAAATCTAAAGTTACAATTATTTCACATTTATCATACATTACATTAGAACAGAAAAAACACCATGTAGCACCTATCAGTCATACTGTCGTTGCACACCTCACTCTGCATTATTAATGTCATAGTGCTCAAGAGACAGTCTCAGAAAATCACATCTGACTGGCTGTTTGAATATAGAAAGCAGCTGGCCCAAACAGCGCGTGTTTGTGTGTGTTCAATGACTTTATGTGAGTGTGACATTGCATCATTGCAGGATGGTAATGTGTTCTTTCGTTGGCACTGCAGCGATGTACTCCGTAGAGATCACAGTTGAGAAGGACCTGGTGACGGGCAAGACCAAAGTCCTGTCCACTAACACACTGCTCCCCAAAGACCTCTCGCAGCAGGGCGTCAAGGTCTATGAGGATGAACAGAAAGGTGGCTGGCGATAGAGGAGGCGTGCGAGGCTTTGCTAGTATGCCTGCTTTACGAGAAGTGTACATGTTTACTTAAAACATATTATAGAAATGAGGAAAAATGTTTAGAACATAAGCTGTAGTTTCTCTTATGTGACCAAACTTGATGTTTATATATCATTTTGGTTTATTCAAGAACAGTTAACTCAAAAAATTTCACCATTCACCATTTTTTCCAAACTCGTATGACTTTCTTCCTTAGCTCTCATCAGGGACGGATTATGACACAGCGGTGCCCTGGGCACGGACCGATTAAAGGCCCCCCTCGGTTGAAATTTTGTTCCTTTTTTAATCGAAATTTTCCCAAACTATTTCCCAAAATATCATAAAATATCACGATTCTCAAATATAAGTAAATGCATTTTGCACCTTTATAGATCATGTTAGTTTATCTATAATGGGCTATGGGAAAAGTAACCTAATATTAGTGTAATCTATTAACTAGCCTATGCATAAAACCCGTCTTTTAACTTGTAGATATAGTCATGTCATAGAATATTTTTAATATGACTGACTTTATATTTAACGTAAATTTAATAAAAACATTGTAAGTTACTAATTATAACACTTTCATTGTACATAACGAGAGCAAAGAATATTTGCTTTATCAAAGAATATTAACTTCAGTCTAGACAGAGTTCAAGCACTCTCAACAACTCCCATTATAATCACTGAAGCTGTTTATACTGTGAAATGAATATCTTACTTATCAACAACTCCCATTATAATCACTGAAGCTGTTTATACTGTGAAATGAATATCTTACTTACATCATACACACATCTGCACTTTGTTTATGATGAGAGAATTCGCCAGAGAGCAGCATTCAGTCAGCGAGCACGCGCGCTGAACAAAACACGGGCTTTTCAGGGATGACTCATCTGAATGCCTCTGATTGGCCATTGCATTCATAAGCTCAACGGAATCCTGTGTGATTGGTTATAATGCGCAGCACTGTAAAAACGCGTCTGGCTCAGCGCCAGCCAAAGCACGAACGCAGATTTGAATTTGGCAGCTGATTCTGTGCCGCACTGAACGTTCTAATCGTATCAAATATAAAAAAAATATTATTCAGCCATTTTTGGTCTTTTGGAAGCTGCATTCAAAATCCACTTTGCTTAAAATCCTGAGGGGGCACGGTTGAAATCGCATTCCTGGAGGAGCAGTATTTCGGCTGGGCCCACCTCTGGTCTAGTGCCCTGGGCACGTGCCCGGTAGGCCCGTGCGTTAATCCATCCCTGGCTCTCATATTTTATTCTCACTATCACATATTTTAGTTTACTCTCGTCGTGGGTCATGTGACACGTGAAAACCATTTCCAATCAGCATCATTGAGGTCAAATCTGGCATGATCGATCTTCAAGTGGTATATTTAAATTTATGTGAAGAGCTGGTGGAGGGAAAGTATCCCAAATTTATAACATAGACTCATTAGAAAAATGTGATCTACCTGCAGTTTCCAGTTAAAATGAACACTAATGGCAGTGAAATACTAACAACTTTGTGCTTTCTCACAAATTATGATTACAGGGGTAGATTATCGATTAATAAACTTAAAAGTATTAACAAGCTAAAATGGCATGGATGCTTCAGCAAATGCATTTTTATCTCACGGTTGCTCACTAACGCTTAGGTTTAGTGTAGATGGTACATTATTTTAAGATTAAGTTAATGCAATAGAGCATTTTCCTTTTAGCGCCACTCACTGGAAAATCCATTTCCAAACTTTCACAATACGTACAACAACCAGCGCCAGATTCACATTCATCTGTTTTGGATAAAACTGAACACTTTTAGTGCCACTCACTGGACATTTCATCTGGAAAGTATTGCAAAACATGCAAGAAACAACGTAATATTTTGCAGAAATGCTGCCACAGGCACATTTTCCAGTGAGCCTGGGTTGTAAATTAAAGTCTGTTCCTCAGACAAAGCTTGTGTTGTTTTAAAAGATGAGCATGAGTCGTATGAACTGATTCCATGGTACTTTTTTGTCCTTTTTGAAGCTTGACAGACCCTGTATGGAAGAGAGTAGCTCGGACATTTAGCTAAACATCTCTTTCAGGTTCCACCAAAAAAAGTCAGTCAAATGGGTTTTGGAATGACATTAGGATGAGTTACTGTAGCGTTAACTTGTATCAACATCTGAATCTTACATTTGTCAGTTTTAGAAGTAACACACTTGATGTGTCATCAAACGCTGGTCACTTCTCGTAAAGAGAGAAGCATGGCTTTAGATGCAGGGTTACCACAAACCCCTGATTTTTGTTGACTCTTATCATTATTCTGGCAGAGTTAAACTCTCATTTGGTCACCCTGCAACTTGACTGCTAGTCTTGGGCATGTTGCTGCCAAGCTTAGCCACAAGCCTCCAGCCTGACTTCTCACGCTTTCCAGTGGTGTCACACAATGAAACTATAAATTTAGCACATATTAAATATATTCTCCATAAGTTTACAGATGATTAAAATACTTGTTTCACTCATATTGCATCTGTTTATACTGCTAACACTGCTAGCTGCTAATGCTAACACCAGTAGCATTGCTTGCTTCCTGCTGTTTACTCAGCTTGCCACACTTTCCCTGTGTTTGATCCCTCAGTCAAGTGAGCACTTCTAGCAAGTGAAGTGCACTTGATGCACAACCTTAAAAGACAATGCTAACAGTAGTCACTAACTGGGCACACTATGCTTTCCATTTTATAAATTATTCCTTTGTAGAAATTCTTACAGCAAACCTACAGTAAATATGTGGCGAATGTGCTGCAACGTTGACTAGAAGTTTGCTGTAACACACTATATAAAGGATTCATATAGGCATTGTCAAGTATGGCATCAGTGCTGTTTATTTAGGGTGACCATACACCCTTTTTTCCCTCCAGACATGTCCTGGTCAGTATCTGGGTTTTGGCTTTGTTTTCCTGTTGTTTTCACACTTGCTGAAGGTAATGACTGAAAAGTAGTTTGACCAATAGTGTGCCGGCATTATACATCGATCAATCGTGGCGAGAAGGCGGGCTCTACAGAGAACAGTCATAACAATGCAAATATTCGTACATATAATTTATGAGGACTGTAGAGAGACCATCAATAGGAAAACATAGCCAAAATCTGGACCTTTTAGCCAATTTAGAAATCCCAGCCAGGACGTGTATGTGAAAAAAAAGGACTATAGTCACCCTGTGTTTATTACAGTCTGCAAGAAGGTACAAGGGTCAATGACATGTTGCTCACTTTTGTTTGGATCTTTTTTTTTGGTTTGTTTTGCTTTGTTTAAAAATACATTTTAAATAATTTATACATGTAATATTTTGACATTTTAAATTTAAATTTATATATATATATATATATATATATATATATATATTTGCAATATTGGGATGATACAACTGCCCTGATAAAATAAAGAAAAAGCCTCATTAAAGACTTTTGGCATGTTTGGCATGTTTTATAAAAAAAAAAATGTTTTTTTTAAATTAAGTATTTTTTTTTTTAATAATCTAAATATTTGAAACGCTTTTTCCTGCCAAAAAGTAATTTGGTGTTATAACGTCAAAAAACATGCACAAGAAATTGTAAAATAGAAAGGACCCCTGCAAACTTCCCAAAAACCAAATTTTTGTGAATGAAGAATTAACTATATTTGTGAAAAAGAAAAATCTTTAAATTTATTTAAACCTTTTTTTTTTTTTTTTTAAATACTTATTAGGATGTGTGCACTTATTCAAAGTATGTTAGTACTTTTTATTGATGGTTATTCCAAATGACATTTTTTATTTCATTTTAAATAAAATAATTGAATTAAAATAAATTTTTCTTTACATTGTTGAGAATGAAAAAAAAAACCCAAAAAGATAAAAGAAACCAGCAAGATAAAATATTTTTCCTTTTCTTTTTTCCATTTCTTGATCTTTAAAAAAAAAAAAGTGTCAACAATTTTTATTCAGAAATTGCTAGCAAGTTACAGCACATAGAATGTCAACAGAACTCGAAATTTTCAAGTGGAAAGACTTGAAAGACTGAAATAATATCTTCCTGTAAAAAGTACTCCAATAATCTTTGTTTTATTTAACTTTGAAAACTTTTTTTTACAGTGTTGGACCCTCTTATTTGTCGTTGACCCACAAATGCTGGGGTTGATAATGCTCTGCCATGTCAGTCTTAAGATGAAGAGCAGTCAGTCAAAGAAGCCTCTGAGTGAGTCTTTCCTGATTGAGTCCGTCTTGTTTTTCTCTATGCAGTGGTGCATGAGGTGCGCAGTGTGGACGGTGCAGTAACCAACGGCGTTCACCAGCTCAGCTCTTCAGAGGTGGACGAGCTTCTCCACAAGGCTGATGAGGTGACCATGAGCGAGAGCAGCAGCAAGACAACACCGCAACTGGAGCGAGGGCAGGCCGAGAAGGTGGAGAAGGTAGAGAAAGACGTAGTCCCAGCCACAGCCCCCATAAAGGAGATCACAGGTGTAGAAGCCAAACCCGCAGCCCCTCAGACAGAAGTGGGCGGGGCCAGCGCGGAGAACCCAGTTACGATGGTTTTCATGGGCTACCAGAGCGTTGAGGACGAGGATGAAACAAAGAAGGTTTTGGGGCTGGAGAGCACGACTGTGAAGGCTGAGGTGGTGCTCATCGAGGATGGAGATGCCAAGACTGCCACCAGTGACAGCAAGCAGGAACAGGCGCCCCCTAATGGCAGCTCAGCAGAGCCACCGAAGGCTGAAGAGGCAGCAGGCGAGTCGGGGCAGCCAGAAGGGGGCGCTGCTGAAGTCAAAAGCAAGGAGAAACAACCCTGCAAGTGCTGCACCATCATGTGAGCCCAAACACGCCCTCCCAAACACGGACTTTACTGATGAAATGCAACAACATGCAGAGAGAACAATAGCAAAGCTGAAAGGAATAAAAGTTCAGTATCTTTTGATAGAAGCTGTTGTTTCCTTAATTGATTTCTACCTGTTTTATATTTTTGCTATTACTTTATCTTTTCCCCTTGATCCTTTCTAACCTCATTTAAATTTTACGCATTTTTTGGGGATTTATTGTGGCTGAAATGAATCACATCATTTGCACTCCTGTGAGAGAAGCATGACGATTTGACCGTTTAACTGAACTGAACGGATCACTATCAAACAAGCCCATTTAATTAGCATTTTCATTTTTTGAATGATTCCAATTTGTCACATAATTGTATGTGCATATGTTGCGTGCACTACAAAGTATTTTCACTTTCACCTCAAAAGAAAACTTTGAAGAAAATCTCAAGTGAAAAAAAAGGACTATAGTCACCCTGTGTTTATTACAGTCTGCAAGAAGGTACAAGGGTCAATGACATGTTGCTCACTTTTGTTTGGATCTTTTTTTTTGGTTTGTTTTGCTTTGTTTAAAAATACATTTTAAATAATTTATACATGTAATATTTTGACATTTTAAATTTAAATTTATATTTGAATGATTCCAATTTGTCACATAATTGTGTGTGCATATGTTGCGTGCACTACAAAGTATTTTCACTTTCACCTCAAAAGAAAACTTTGAAGAAAATCTCAACATTGTGCACTGCACTGTATTTATTACTGATGAAGCTGTGAGAAGTATTTCAATTATTTTTATTTTGTTTTTTCGAATTAGGAATAAAACCTGTGGGATTGACAGAGCACATGCATTTGCTTAGAAATTATGGGATTGTTTTAAAAAACGGAGTGACCATCGTACAGGTAAATAGTTACACAAAATAGTGCAGAACAGTTTTGACTCATTCCTCAGTTTGTAATGAAGGAAAAAAAAAGTTTACAAAAGAGTGAAGTTAGCATTTTTTTTAAACATGAATTTTTCCTTACAAACGTGCAGCTGTAATTGAGGTGTAGTTGTCTAAATCATTTTACAAATCCTTACTGGATTCCCTACACTACTGTTTGGGCTCTGTATTTTAAGTCTCTTCTGTTCACCAAGGATGCATTTATTTGAAAAAAAAAAAAAAAAACATAGGCTATTTCTCTACTGATGGCCATTTAAATTTAGGTTTACATATATTTATTTTAACAAACATACAGTAAAAAGTAATTTTTTTAATTATAATTAAAAATAATATTTTCTATTTGAATATATTTAAAAATGTAATTTATCCCTATTATGTCAAAGCTGAATTTTCAGCATCATTACTCCAGTCTTCAGTGTCACATGATCCTTCAGAAATCATTCTAATATACTGATTAGATGCTCAAGAAACGTATTATTATCAATGTTGAAAAAAGATGTGCTTTTTGTGGAAGCCATGCTATATTGTTTCAGGATTCTTTGATGAATAGAAAGTTCATTCCCTACACTACTGTTTGGGCTCTGTATTTTAAGTCTCTTCTGTTCACCAAGGATGCATTTATTTGACAAAAAAAAAAAAAAACATAGGCTATTTCTCTACTGATGGCCATTTAAATTTAGGTTTACATATATTTATTTTAACAAACATACAGTAAAAAGTAATTTTTTTAATTATAATTAAAAATAATATTTTCTATTTGAATATATTTAAAAATGTAATTTATCCCTATTATGTCAAAGCTGAATTTTCAGCATCATTACTCCAGTCTTCAGTGTCACATGATCCTTCAGAAATCATTCTAATATACTGATTAGATGCTCAAGAAACGTATTATTATCAATGTTGAAAAAAGATGTGCTTTTTGTGGAAGCCATGCTATATTGTTTCAGGATTCTTTGATGAATAGAAAGTTCAAAAGAACAGCATTTATTTAAAACAGAAATATTTTACAGTAAAAGTCTTTACTGTAGATGCATCCTTGCTGAATAAAAGTATTAAGTTCTTAAAAAACAAACGTTTGAACTTTAGTGTATGGTCTTGTAGCTATATTTCACTTTATTCCAATGCAATGCCTTTCGCCATAGACTTCCATTATATTTACATAACATGATTTTTATTTGCTTTTACAAACTTAGGGATGAGTTATAATAATTTTATGGTAAATGAAAGCATGTCACAGCTTAACCTCTTTTGAACCAACATTCCTGCAAATGCACGTGCAAATGCAGTTTTCACAATTGATTTGCTTCAAATGAAAGAATATTTCAATGGTCTGTGAGTGCTTTCTTTTATCAGAGCATCCCTTCTATTTTTTCCCTTTGCTATTCCTCACACACACAGTAATACAACACCATTTCCCCTCCTTTAAGGAAACTCTCTTTTCCTGATCTTTGTTCTCCCGTGAGTCCAGTAGATTGCGCTCTTTCATATTGAAATGTAGGACAGGTGAGCTGAGGATATCTCAGTAAGCTTCGATGTTTTGCTGTAAGGCTGTTCGATGGTCGTTCTCAGTTAGACTGTTCCAGCAAAGAGCTTGCGCATGTGTTTGTAATTGTTCCTTTGTGTTTCTAACTAAAATATATATTATCCCCACTTGAAGTGCTCTATTTGGAAATAGAGATCAAGAGTAGAGAGCAAGTTATTCTCTCGGTTACTTTCCAACTGCTGCATGATATAAACTGGCATTGGATCATTTGTAGCCTTCTCATATTTCATCTGCATCGCTCACATGCATTTTGAGTATTTAAACAGCCCTGGCCTCGTTCTGACATTCAGAGGTGGGTATGTATCAGGCTAGCTGTGTATTTCGATTGTATGCCAGGCCACACTGCCCTCAGACCTCAGGAAGGGTCAATGACAGCTCATTCCTATAACAAGTGACATCAACAAACTTCTGCAGCCAATCCTATGCAACAGCCCTCATGCGTGTGAACTAGTGTCAGAATAAGCAAAGCTCTCTCACTTCCACAGCAATCTTAACAGTTCCCGAGACAAGAATGGAAAGACAGGAAGGACAATATCCGCCCTTCCTTAGCTGTTCCAAGGAAGTGTGGCCAGGGGACAGGAAACATTTAATAGGTTATTATGCAAAGTATTAAAGCTTTTTTCTTTCTTTTTTTTTTTTTTAAAGATACTTTTAGAAAAAAAAAAAAAAGTGTTAACATTTTTGGCAAAAGTAAAAAAAAAAAAAAAAATTTGGGAATTGCCCTTATAGTAGCTATGATGCCAAATGCTTCAGTAAAAACAAAAGGCATATTGTTTTTGTAGCCTGTGTGTTTGTGGAAGAGTGGTCGACTGGTGCTAACTTAAATTTATGTTCATGTTTTCCATAACTGTTAGTAACATTAAAGGTGCATTAAGTAGTCTGATATCACAGTCAACGTCTGATATCTAGTTATATGTAAATTACACTGATACCATTGGGTTTTAGAGGGCGGTTTACACAATAATTATTTAATTCCCTTACCTGTCCAACAAAAAAAGAAGCAACTCCTGCATCACTACTTAGGATTTTTCTCCCTCGCCAAATCTTGCCGTACTGATATTTATGGCTGTTTTTTGTCTTTGTCTTTTGGCTTCAGACCATTTCTTCTGCTTCTCTGGCCGTATGCTATATGGGAGCTTTTCAAACATTGCTTTATGAACGTATGAAACTGGCTTCATTACATCGAACCTTTGCTTCAAAACATTTGAAATTCTGATCTGGAGCACATTAACCAGTGTCTAGGGTCAGGTTTATAATGTAGGCTCATTTTTAATGAATAAAAATTGTAATAACATTGCGTATATAATGAAAAAATAGGATGATAATTAATTATTTCTAATTGGACTAAATAGCCAAATCCTGCCTAAAACAAGCATACAGAATTATGATAAATTACACAGATGCTTCATATTAAATGATATTTCATGATTTGTAAATTACATTCAGTAATTAAAGCGGTTGTAATTTGTTTGTAAAAGGCGTCTTTATGCAAGTTTCGGCTTTGAAACTTGACATACTTAGTCGAGCCAGGCTCCATCGCTGTGACACGGCGGGATTTTATACGTTCCCATAGCAATGTAGAGTGACCGAATCGAAAGGGAACGCTCTCGGTTACTCACGTAACCTCGGTTCCCTGAGATGAGGGAACGAGACATTGCTCTTATTGCCATGTCACCTAGCTCAGGATCTTAGAATGCCAAGTTGCTTCAGTCAAGATTCTGAATAGATGACGTACAAGCGCTGCTTTATATAGAGTGGGAGCCCCTCATATTTCGCGCGCTTGAACGCCATTGGCCAGTTTCACTGGCGTGATTCAATAAGGCTTCAGTAGTATTTGGAGGAAAGGGTAATTCTCTCATTAACACACTGCTTTGACCAGCACTTTTGTGAGATTTGAAATTGAATCATTTTGCGAATCAATTGGTTCACTCAATTCTGTTTCGAAAAGCTTATTTTCTCTGATGACTACATACAGGTACTGATTCTAACATTGTCGCCGCTGGTAAAGCACAATGGTCTGATTCTCGCTCTTTGCATCACCAAACAACTCTACATTACAGTTGCCTCTACAGCGGCTGTGAAACGTAATGAAACACTGCGGCTCATGTCATTTCAGCAGGCCAAAATACATTTTGGTGGGAACAATACACAACATAGATAACTGAAACACTTTTTATAGAAATCTTTTATGAGTACAGTCTTCATCTCATGTGAGTTTACACCATTCAGACTCTTTAAAAACACAATTGATGTGTAAAACTTTAATTAGCACCAAAACTACTAAATGCACCTTTACGTTACATTGGAGGGTTTGTTAATGAATGTTAAAATTGTTTTGTACCTTACTTATAAATTGCTTGCTTAATCAATTTAATTTGATGGCAAATTATTAACTCATTTTAGGGGAACGAAATTACGTGGCACGGCTAGCTGGTAGTCTGCTAGATGAAATGTGTGTGCGTTTTGTGTATGTGTGGTCGTATCCATGATTTATGTCAGTTAATATGTCATATATCTCTCATATTTTAGTCACATTAGTTGCCCAAATTGCTGGGATGAACTCTGTGAAAATCAGTGTCTGTGTGTATTCAGAAGCCCGGGAGTCAAATGAGGTCAACATGAATGCAAAAAAACCCTTTTCGTTTATCGTGTTCCATCATGTTTCCACACATTCACTTATCCATGTACACACTATTTGGATGTAAAGCAGCATCTGTGAGGTTATAATTCATAGTTCAAGAACCAGTTTGCTTTCCTCCCATTGCTCATCTGGGCAGCTTCCTTTAAAGTCTTTGCATCAATGTGAGTTTAATGGTTGCTTCACACTTTTGCCACTCACCTTAATGTCCGTCAATACTAACATTCCAGTTCCGACATGTTCCTCACCCCTGAATGCCTTGTTGTCTGGCCACGGGCCTGGCATTTCTCTTTTGTATAGTTGCATGCTTTTATAAGTACATAAATCACACATATCTACATATCCATATCCATTTCCATGTTAGATAATGTCCCTGTGCTTGAACCCCTAACCCTTGATGACAAGCTGAGTTCAAAGGCATGATAGAACAGAGGAGAATGCAGGGACATATAACCAGGTACCTCTCGTATTGGTTCTCCTGATAATGAGTGTGTGTGCTCTTACTGCCACTGTTGTCTGTGCGTTGTGAAGGTCTGCTTTCTTATCAACCTGACAGAGCTGTAGAAAGAGTTGGAACGAGACATTAAAATGTGACGTGCTTTACGGAAATCACTGCCTCTGTCTTGTTTTCTTTAATAACAGAAAATGTGCTGCTTATGATCTATTTCCTGCTCTGCATTTTTGGTGCAAACTTCAACACCACAACAACAGATTCATTTTGTCAACATGAGTTTGCAGTCTGTATTGAATGAGATGCAATAAAAATATCATGCACAGTGAAATAATGGCAAGAAACGTCTTTCTATTGAGTAGTCCTCGCAGGCTGCGCGCAAAATCTAGTTTTCTACTAAACCTGGCATTGTATACTATACATACTATTGGCTCTCTGACAAATTGCTTGTGATGTTCCTCATTTGTAAGTCCCTTTGGATAAAAGCATGTAAAAACAACATACAGAATGGCCAGTGTAGTATGATTCACAAGCAAATGACTCTTATGAGTCTGTTTTTTTGTGAATCAGAAATGTACAGTGCAACCAGTATAGTCAGATTCACTAACAAATGGCTCTTATGAGCCATTTCTTTTAAGCGAATCAGAAATGTACAGCACAACCAGTATAGTCAGATTCACTAACAAATGACTCTTATGAGCCAGTTCTTTTTATTGAATCAAAAACATACAGTGTGACCAGTGTAGTCTGATTCACAAGCAAAGTACTCTTATGAGTCAGTTCTTTTTATTAAATCAGAAATGTACAGCACAACCAGTATAGTCAGATTCACTAACAAATGACTCTTATGAGCCAGTTCTTTTTATTGAATCAAAAACATACAGTGTGACCAGTGTAGTCTGATTCACAAGCAAATTAATCTTATGAGTCAGTTTTTTAAGTGAATCAGAAACGTACAGCACAACCAGTAAAGTCAGATTCACTAACAAATGACTCTTATGAGCCAGTTCTTTTTATTGAATCAAAAACATACAGTGTGACCAGTGTAGTCTGATTCACAAGCAAATTAATCTTATGAGTCAGTTTTTTTAAGTGAATCAGAAACGTACAGCACAACCAGTAAAGTCAGTCATCGACACACACACCTATACACGCATGCATGCACTGAATCTTTGACCATGGGCCAGGTCACCCCGCACACATTATGGGAATTTTTGCTTAATGTGATACCTCACTAAGCTTTATACATATAGTGGGACAGATGACTGAAATTCCATAAAAATAAAATAAAACAAATGTGTATAGTACAATACTAGTGTCAAACATTATAATGCTATATTCAATAGCTAATAATATACTACTAATGTACAAAGTTAAATACTTGTGCATTATATTTTAATTTTACTGAATACATTTTATTGTGGTTTGGGAAAAAGAAACATTTACCTGAAAATGTGTTTCTTCTTCTTCAGCTGTGCAAAATATTTAGTAAATATTGTATTGTTTTAAACACATGCTATCTTTTTTTTAAAATTAGCTTAAGATAAAATAATAACTGATCAACTCCTGCAATACTGCTGTAGCACAAGAAACTGTATATAGTTTTGTGTATTTTTGTGACTTTTGAGCCCCTTACAGTTAAGTGAGTGGAATTCACTGTTGTAAATATATCACTGTGGTAATTGCAGTGAATAGCTGTATGTGCTCATTTGTTGGTGGCTTAAAGCAATTCACTCTTTTTGCGGAATTTCGTAGCCTAAGCACAAATTTACAAACTCCCAGAACAGACGTTTGGGAAAGAAACAAGCCATTCGGCTTATTAAATGTCAGTGAACCATTAGATTGATTTTGAAACTGATATTTAAAGGCAAAAATAAATAAATAAAATAATTATGGTTGCTTTAAAACCCCTAGTTTATGGTTCTTGACCACTAGATGTCATGATATGTATTATTCAGTCCACTAGAAACTTCTGTACAAAAAGTCCAATCATAGACACTTTTCTACAAGATCAGTTAAACAGTCACTAGCGATGATTTTAGAAAAAGTCATTTGCTTGGCCATAAACTCTGGAATGTAATATATGAGTGTCATGCTCTGTACTTTCACTCATCTGCTCTGACACATGGGAGTTTTCCTCAGCTCATTGCACAACTCAAATGACACCTTCAACTTTAATTTTAATTGCGTTGGTGTTGTTGTCCTCACTACAGTCCATATGGACACATGTAAATTAGTTAACAAGAATGTTTATGGGTTTATTCAGGCCCATTTACCATCTCTAAATTTAATTCTGCGTGCAGATGGTTCAGTACCAAGCTTTTATATTAATATACCAGGTGCCCATTCTTCCTCAAAACCCCATCCACAATCTATCAGTTTTTTGCATTCCTTCGGTCTGGGTGTGGGGTGTGTCTATGCGTGTATATGTGATATTAGATGAACTTTGTCAAGTCAGTGCAGTAAAGACAGAAGTGTCTTCTGATGCATGTGACAGTACAGACTCTGACGCCACTGCTGATGTCTGAGGGTGAGTGTTGCTCATTTTTCTTTGGCTGAAATGTTTTGTGAGAATGAATAGCCCAGCTTGTTATGCTAGAATACGTAGTTTATATTATTTGTTCATTTGAAATGCGTGAGATAATTTGTAAGAGAGACAGGATATACTGTATAACTGCCTAAATCAGGGGAGAATAGAGTGACATGTAATGTAAACAGGAAATTTTTAAAGTACAAAAAGTTTTATCTCAGTATTATATAATAATACATTTCTTAAATGCATTTTATGGCAGGTATACTTCCACTTTCAGCCATTTTACTGTCACTGTAGGCTAAAGGTTCATCAGGATTAATACGGTTATGTATCTTATGATTTTGATCTTTATGGAGCACTTTGATCTGTCTGAAAGAAAGTGAAAGAGCGAGATTTTAACAACTTTTTTGGTTTTATGGTGTAAAGACTCACTGCAGCATGGTTCCATGACTCTGTTTTGGTAATCATACTTCTGTAAAGCTACAGTATATTTTCTACACTTTTGGGGACACCCCTCAAACAGTCTGAGCCAATCAGAAAAGGCAGATCAGTGGATTCCAGGAAACAGGTCTTCTGTCATTTTATCAGTGGTTCACAGTTCACGATTTCAAACACGGACACCAGTGACAGTGTGCAAAACTCCCTTACAACTACGTAAGCTTCTTCAAAGTGGTAGACAGTCTTATCTATTGTTTTGATGCAGTACTCAAACCAGAGAATTTTTTCTCCCACAATGATAAATTCTTTTTTTAAAAACGGAATAGTACATATCTCTTCAATAACGTGAGGTGAGTGTTTTTTTAAACCTATATAATCAACATCTGAAGACCTTCACATATTTAGCATAGAATGTTTTGTTATCAGAAAAGTTATGCAAACTAAATTCAACTGGGACTACATAAAAAAAAAATTTTTTTTCTAAAATATAAGTATAAAAATATATTTTTTTCTCGCTCATGTTTATTAAAAACTTAAATTTTGAAAATGAATATAATTAAAAATATATATCTTTTGAATAATCCATGGAGTGCAATTGTATGCAATGTAATATGTAAATTCTTACAAAAGAGATACTGACAGGTGTGTTAGTACTAAGCAGAAGATGGTTTCATGTATACTATAAAAAATGCCAAACAGAAACATGATTTTCAGCTGAATAGTAGGCTAGGTTGATGAAACTATGATTATTTACCATGATTTTACTACAGTAAGGAAATGTAAGGAATATAGTTACTCTGCAAGAAATATGGTAAAGGTTTATAAGTCAGGAATGAAAGTGTACTGTCTGTTTCTAGTGTTATATTTTAAATACGGTTTCATTTTTTATGTAACGTAAAATGTTTTATAAATATTCTAAATGTTCATTTTATATGTTCTTCACTCTTAATAAACACAACTTGTTAAACCTTTTAATCTCAGACATCTTAAACCATGCATATTACATATCTGGATATACGTTTACTTACTCTCTATACACAATATGTGTTAAACATCTGATACTCTCCACACGGTCCAGTAGTAAATATGTTGTCTTTCTGCTTTTGTTGTTACCCAGAGACAGGCATCAACTGTGACGGTCAACCCATATGATGCAAGCACTCACTCCTCAGTAGAGGAGCAGGCTGTGATCCATTCCCATTCTTCTTTGAGACCTCCACATCCCAGGCCTGCCCAGAACCATCCACCACCCGGAGACCCCATGACCAACAACCCAAAGCGTTGGGTGATAAAGCCCCTCTCCCCTAAGCTAGAGCAGTCAGATTTGCGCTCCATAGTGAGCCCAACTGGCCAACCACAGTTGCTAGAGAATACATACAGTAGCAATCAGGACGGTGACTCTTTCAGGTTCAGCTTGGAAAGTATAACAGTAACAGGCATGCAGCCTACTGTGATGGTGTCATCTGGGAGTAGCACTCCAGATGTGGTAGTCCAGGCTCGGCAAGTGCCTGTGTCTGAGGATGGAAGTGACAGTGAAGAATTTAGGCCTAGTACACCAAGCAGTACAGGCTCATATGTTGGATTCTATTCCTTTGTAGATGACCCAGCAAGCCCAGAAGCAGAGATGAATGAAGTCTACATGGTTTCTCCACAAAGGCAGGCCAAACTGAATACCTTGAAGGAGAAGAGCACCTTTAAGCTACAGACATACACAGAAGAAAAGAGACCTGGAAGGCTATTTGAAGAAACTAACGGAGATGACCATTACCAAATTGAGGATACCTCCACAGTCAATGAAGACGGGGAAAATCCAGACCGAATGGAGATCATCCGGAATCAGGCACCCAGGAAAAGCCCTGCCCTTAAAAAGCAATGGAGTACCTTAGAAAATCTGGACCTCAGTAACACTCCGCAAAGGCTCCTGGATGGGTTTAGTCTAAACTACAAACCAGTGAGTGTAAAGACTGAACAAACCAGGGTTGAGCCTGGCACCATAGACAATGAGCAAATTGACTTTAACGCAGCACGAAAGCAGTTTCTAATGATGGAACAATCAAAACAGAATCCCTTCCTACAGAGTCCTGAGAGGCTCCCTTATTCCCCCAAACTGCGAGGAAGATGTCTATCCTCAATGGCCAGCATCTTCAGTCCAAAACAAGTAAGCAAAGAGAACAGCATAGAGGAGAATCAGATCCCACTAGTAACACAACAAGAAATAGAAGTAAAGACTGTAACTATGACTGAGGATTCAAAAAATGGAGTTCCAAGTGGTGCCTTAGATGATATTGACTCTGGTCTTGGTGACCGAAGTGGAGGCTACGCCAGTGATGGTAGCAATTCGAACGATCCTTCCATTTCAGAGATGGAAAGTAGCTTGACAATGCTGATTGCAGAGGAGACTCCCATTCAAAGGGGAATCAGAATTGAGACACTGCTAAAGGACTTTGAGGACAGACGGATCAAACTGAAGCTGGAAGAAAGTGCAGTGAGTGAAGTTTATTTCAGGAAACAGTCTGAAATCACAAACCTCTCCAGGAAACAGTCCTTAAAAGGATAGTTTATACAAAAATGAAAATTGTGTCATCACCTTCATCTTCATGTCATTCCAAATCGCAAATCCATGGAAGAAAGAAAGTCATAAACGTTTGAAATAACATGCATAAGTAAAGAATATAATTTTTGGGTTAACTATCCATTTAAGGGATTAAAGGCATAATAAACAGCTGTGACTGGTGTAAAAATTGATTTAGAGCTGTATTGACAGATTTTTCTCTTTATAACTTTTTCTTTCCTCATTGTCTCTCAGTATGCTGGGATCCAACCTCTTGAAATACTTGACGGTGTTTTTTTTTTTTTTTTTTTTTTTGCTTTTTCTTTGAATGCCGATATTATATGATTGACCTTTGCACAGCAGCGCCCTCTAGAGAAATAAACTCCATTAACACATTATTTCTACATGCATGCAATGCAGTTTGCTAAATTGTTTTGTAATTTCGTGTCAGTGTCATTAAAAATATGTCTACACAACAGCAGTAATTAAATAATGCCACAGATGCTAGACAAGACCCAAATTCCCCTCTGAACCCATATGTATTAGTACCACACTTTGTTTTATGCTCTCAGAAGTGAAATTAAGTGAATCTCATGGTAGGCGCATTTACAAGCAGCAACAAGTTACCCTTTAAAATGACTTTCACTTCAATCACACAACTTTCATTCTGCATTAGACTGAGTTCAGTGTCAGGTGGGGCTTTCCACACTTTCCTGTCAATTAAAATCCATTTACAGTGAGTATTAGTGCATTTTTTACCTGTATTTATACATTTATATTCAGCCTGCACTAGCAATTAAATGCATTAATGTATACATGTGTTATTGTGTGCATTATGAGTGAGACGACATTTTCACCATTATAATTTGGATCAATCAGAATCTTTGGACCATGTGTTTATTTGCATGCAACATTAATGTCAGTAAGTAGAAGAGACTGTGCCTATATTGTCACACATTTTACTTCAGGGAATATATTGAACCACCCAAAAAAAAAAAACAGATAATGCAGTAATATTATGAGCTGTTGTTACAATTGATCATTGCCGTTTTCTATATGAATATATTTTAAATGCAATTTATTCCTGTGATGCAAAGCTGAATTTTCAGCATCATTACTCCAGTCTTCAGTGTCACATGATCCTTCATCATTCTAATATGCTGATTTGCTGCTCAAGAAACATTTCTTATTATTTTCAGTTATTCAAAAGTTACAGAGTAGGTATGATTTAAGTAAGGAATAACTGACGACAGGCCGTTGAATTATTAGAAAATAATGCACAGCCGCGGCCACAACTCAAAGCGGAGTTACACCTCAGGTGTGCATTATTTTCTAATTATTCAACGGACGGGAGTTATTTATTCCGCTTGTACTACGGTTACCACACCTCAGGACATTGTTCAGATGATGCGTTTCAAGACATTTGTCAGGGTTTGTCCTTGAAATGCTCTTGTAGGATTTTGCTTTTTCTTTGAATGCCGATATTATATGATTGACCTTTGCACAGCAGCGCCCTCTAGAGAAATAAACTCCATTAACACATTATTTCTACATGCATGCAATGCAGTTTGCTAAATTGTTTTGTAATTTCGTGTCAGTGTCATTAAAAATATGTCTACACAACAGCAGTAATTAAATAATGCCACAGATGCTAGACAATCTCATGGTAGGCGCATTTACAAGCAGCAACAAGTTACCCTTTAAAATCACTTTCACTTCACTCACACAACTTTCATTCTGCATTAGACTGAGTTCAGTGTCAGGTGCGGCTTTCCACACTTTCCTGTCAATTAAAATCCATTTACAGTGAGTATTAGTGCATTTTTTACCTGTATTTATACATTTATATTCAGCCTGCACTAGCAATTAAATGCATTAATGTATACATGTGTTATTGTGTGCATTATGAGTGAGACGACATTTTCACCATTATAATTTGGATCAATCAGAATCTTTGGACCATGTGTTTATTTGCATGCAACATTAATGTCAGTAAGTAGAAGAGACTGTGCCTATATTGTCACACATTTTACTTCAGGGAATATATTGGAACCACCCAAAAAAAAAAAACAGATAATGCAGTAATATTATGAGCTGTTGTTACAATTGATCATTGCCGTTTTCTATATGAATATATTTTAAATGCAATTTATTCCTGTGATGCAAAGCTGAATTTTCAGCATCATTACTCCAGTCTTCAGTGTCACATGATCCTTCATCATTCTAATATGCTGATTTGCTGCTCAAGAAACATTTCTTATTATTTTCAGTTATTCAAAAGTTACAGAGTAGGTATGATTTAAGTAAGGAATAACTGACGACAGGCCGTTGAATTATTAGAAAATAATGCACAGCCGCGGCCACAACTCAAAGTGGAGTTACACCTCAGGTGTGCATTATTTTCTAATTATTCAACGGACGGGAGTTATTTATTCCGCTTGTACTACGGTTACCACACCTCAGGACATTGTTCAGATGATGCGTTTCAAGACATTTGTCAGGGTTTGTCCTTGAAATGCTCTTGTAGGATTAAAATTTCTCATCCAACGCCTCTGTTGCTAATTCCAAAGTGTCATTAAAGACCTAGCAACGGAGGCTTGAGCTTTTGATAGCAGACTAATTTATAGTAAAGTTATTACAGAGACAGAGAGATTTAGCTCTGTGCGTCTCTCAACAGTTGTTCGGCAGCAACGTCCCTAGCAAAACTGTTAAGTTCATCTGCTTCAAGAACAGCGCCGCTGTTACCTCGCTTGTTGTGAGAAATGACATGTAGCTTTGAAGTTCTGTTGCTAATTCCAAAGTGTCATTAAAGACCTAGCAACGGAGGCTTGAGCTTTTGATAGCAGACTAATTTATAGTAAAGTTATTACAGAGACAGAGAGATTTAGCTCTGTGCGTCTCTCAACAGTTGTTCGGCAGCAACGTCCCTAGCAAAACTGTTAAGTTCATCTGCTTCAAGAACAGCGCCGCTGTTACCTCGCTTGTTGTGAGAAATGACATGTAGCTTTGAAGTTATTGAGCTATTTTACTGATAAAATCGTCAGAACAGCGCTGACAACACGTTTCTGTGTGCGTGTATGTTTCTGTCAGTACTGTATGTATGTACGTTTGAGTGGGAGTCAAGGCTGGACTGGTAATCGGGCATACCTGGCATTTTCCCGGTGGGCCGATGCACTTAAGGGGCCGACAGAATGTTTTTTTTTCTTTTGCCAAGGACCATCACGCACGGACAGCGAGCAGCCAGTGGCCAATTGGTTTGTCTCCTGTATTGACAGCGTAAACCACCTAATCACAATGCGCTATAGACGGAGCGATTAAGTATTTTGCTCCGCCTCTGTAAAGTGCTTGATAGGGACTCGCAGCGGAGGCAGGCATCTAACCTATCCTAAAGTGTGCGCGCCATGAGTGTAGAATACGAAACACTTTTTAATAAAACGTAAATTCATCCCCCGCGAATTTTTTGGCCAAGTCAAGTCAAGTGTGTTCATAGAGGTTTCCATGGGCCAATGCGAATAAATCTAGATTTAAATAAAAAAAGACACGATATTGTCGGAGCTGACGTTTTATTCTTATCCAAAACTACTAGATGCAATGATACATATCTACACTACCAGTTAAAAGCTTGGAGTCAGTTTTTTTTTCAGGGGGGGGATTATAGAAATTAATACCTTTAGCAAGGATGCTTTAAATTGATCAAAAATGATGATAATGACATTTATAATGTTACAAAATAGATAAATGCTGTTCTTCTGAACTTTCTATTCATAAAAGAAACCTGAAAAATTTATACTCAGCTGTTTTCAACATAATAATAATAATAATAATAAATGTTTCTTGAACA